AGGGAATACGGGTTCACGTCATGTGTAAACAGCCTTAGATCAAACTTGAGAAGTCTGATGGGTTACTTCACTTTTCATAAACGCCTGTCGAAAATCTGCATGTAAAATGGCGTTATCTCACTTTATCAGAAAAATACTGTTATTGCTAATCTAACTGATCAACCTATTACAGTAAATATGATAGCATTTGTAACTGTTTGGTCTAACCCGTTAATTGGAACATTTAATGTCATTACGTAGTTACCCATTTTTCATCTAAATAGCCTGGATAACATTTCTCTGTCATCCATAAGCTAGTAACAATTTCGCCCTTTTGTACGGCGCTTCTTTGGAAGATCAAAAAGATGGCTGTCAGTCAAAGTGTGAAGCTTTATGCAGTACTACAAGGGCCAATTACTGGGAAGCCAAAACATAGAAATCAAGGGCAAGAGTTGGAGATAATTTCTTGAATGTGAAAAACCATCTCTTTTACTGTAAATCTCACTCGAGATGCAGTAAAACAATAACACCACACAACAAGAAATGTTTCGTTGTTGGTACACAGATGGCGATCATTTAAAGTATCATATTTTATCAGTGGCCTTATCCTTCGACTGCCGTAATGCGATTTACCAGTTACTGTGAGGCTCAAAGTTACTTTTTATCGATCACCAGTTGCAATGACTTATGCTGAGATAAATAAATTCTTGAACTTAATTATAAATGACCTTATTGCTGATACTTGGTATCCTTGACATCTTTTGCCTAATCAACCATGATACGTTACAAAAATTTATTCAGATATTTTCATTGGATTCATATATTATTACCATTACCTAACAATCATATACCATGAAAAAAAGAGTGGCTAAGCCTGAAAAATGTCAATATATTAACTGTTCATTGGTAGCAGAAAGAGTGATTTTCATGGAATCCCTCTGATCAAAACAATTTAATTGTAGGTCTAGTATAAAAATCATCCTTGTACCCATCGTTTTAAGTGGTCGAGTTTATTTCAACACTGACTGTCGCCTATACTTTCAACATAGAGAGGAGTTAAACGCCAGAGTCCTACTGATTATGATTATTGCTATCCTTGACAGGCAGCACATATAGTTTATGTTCATGTAATCATTTCACTTGTTAAATCTAGTGTACGATATTATATCATCCATGATTATTTTATGTAATCTATATTGACTTCAAAGATATAAAATCACCCGATGTCAGCAGGCTGATTTATCACTTCTACTCAACAAAATTCTGCGGATTAGCTTGTGTACACACCAGCTACTTTTATCCTCAAATCTATGGAAGGGAGTTTGAGCAATCGTCTTAGTATAAACGGGATCATTCGGTTCAGAGTTTATCTCTACTGAGCTAACCTGTGTTCAGCTAATTAACACAATCTGTGCCAGCAGTCCGACTAACTTATGATTCATTCATTTTTTGAATCGTTTTTGTTTGATATCAAGTTACATGTAATGGCATTATTATGGAATTTAGTTCTGGACTAACAGTGATGCACTTATCCACGCTGCCAGCGTAACTACTCACTACAGTGACTACCGAATCCGTAAGAATTCAAGTAAAATTTTCGTCACAGTCCGAATCCAGTCATCCTATATCAACAGTCAGTAAATTTTGTGATGATTTTCGTGCAAGACAACTGTACCGAGAAAGGAAGAGTTTATTTGATCTATGGATCGACAGGTTATATAGTTTGATCACACCTTTAAGGCTGCTTCATGCTATGGTGTCCGAATTCTCTCACGTTCACCGTTTCTACTCTTCTCGATGGCCAATATAAGTCTTATCAGTAACTATGTGTTCAGCTTCAATGATTGTATTGGTTGGAACTATCCTAACAACTGTATCATTCAATATATATACGGCCAATATGTTGAACAGGTCTCTCCTAACGTTAAATAAACCATATCTGATTTAGACAACTAAGTATAATATTTGTCAAAATTCCTTTACTGTGTGATCATACATTTTTGTTTACATAACATTGCGAGTCACTTTTTTATACATGTTAAGCTGTTACTACGGAACATTTGATTTAAAATTCTATGAACGTTTTAACAGTGTGTTCTTAGTGCAAGTTTGGGAATGGTTTCTGAATCCGGAAGAACAGTTTCAGGAGTTTAGATACGCGTCTTGCCCGGATATCAGAATAAGAAAGCAATTTATTTGGGTAAGAAAAGGTTCTATTATTAATTAAAAGGTATAGATAGTTACCTAAACAATATTACACTGTTCTCTGTCTAATTTACCACAATTTGTTTCCAATTCTGGAAGAAAGCTTGAGTTTATTTCTTAAATTGCACCTTTCCAGTCCAGATTTACGTTTACCCGCAGCCCCACCACGAGAAGAAACTCAGCATCAAGCTGTTCTCCATTCCAGAAGTTATTCTCTCAAAGAGCTGCAAACGACAGTCAAGATGCAATTCGACCCCAAGAGGACACGCTATTAAAAGAGGGAAGAGTGTTGGGGATGTTAGATCCCCAGAAATCGCTTGATAAATGGCATGGTTCGGATTTTACTTTTCCGAGCATGGGCTGGTCAGCTTACCTTGAGATTTCATTTCCCGCCAGGAAAATCCTTAACTATGTTTGCTTGCTATGTATTTTAGTGAGCTGTTTTTATGACTGTCCCAAGGACGTTTTAATGATGTATAAACAAGACTTGTGTGTTTGAATGCATTGTGCTCGCTAGGTGTTTGTAGAACATACTTGAAAACATACTTATCTAGACTTCCGGTTAGTCATCGAATCTGGGTAGCCTACCTTGACGCTAGTTCATTGTCCCGTTCTCGTTTATCGACTAAGGTGAACCCGTAATCGTTTCAAGCATTCCAGGTGACGAACCTGACATTTGACAATAAATTTAAAAATATGTGGTCTCGACTTGTTTGTCGAAACTTTCTTTTTAAATTAGCCTTCAGCTTATTTGTTTTTGGAGGACTTTTATTTAAGACTCTTGTTAACACCCGCGTGAGGACCCTACAGACTTCGAATTCGAATCAATATAAAATGGTGTATTGAAGCCAGAATTTCGCCCGTAACTAACCAAGTTATCTCTAAAGTTAAACATGCATTATCTTATAAACCTGATTTTAACGTTTCATGTTTGATGTTAAGTTCTGAAGTTCGAAAAGACAGTACATTTCTACTATCGTGACGGTAAAGCTCAGCCATGAATGTCCAATAACCATACGTTGATATTTTACTGAGAAAATGCTCCATACTGCTATAATATGGAGAGACCGTGTAAGCCATCATCCGACTTCGATGTAGAGTAATAAAGACAGAAATATTATATTATAATAATTTAGTCACGAATGGCAGAAAGCTATACGAGGGATGTCAGTTTACAATGAAGGTAGACAGATCACAATTCCCAAACAATTTACCGTAAGAGTTTTTCGCTGTTGACTAGATAAAAAATGAAAGACATTCCCAGTTAAAGATCATCCTTCCTTATGTAATATCAGAGATAACGGATACGAAGAGACTGGGAATCGTATCTGCTTTCTTCCTGTTTTTGATATCGTATTTTGATGACGTGACAGGCAAATGTGATAGGGAAAATGAGAAGTCGAAGCGCAGACTTTCTGCATGATGGATGTTGTTGAGTCATGTTTGACGAAAAATTAAAATATAGTTACTGAACTCATCCCCTATTGTAATATATGTTGCAACTTGGTAGTATTCAGACGAGTAAAAAAAAAGCCAATAATATGTCAGCTAAAGAATGAAGAGCTGTACAAATAGAGAACACTGAAAAGAATGGGATAAGATCATGACGATGTTATACAGAAAATTTAGGAAGGAAAGTATAGTAAGTAGCCATCAATTTTTGATGTATTCATTTCTAATCAAATTATTGAGCCAATACCGTACCATACTGGTCCCGTTCATCCTATAATAAGATTTCTTAGTAGAAGACTAAGTCTGAATATATTGAGTTCTTCATCTCCTTCATTATACTCGATAATTTTGCCTCCTTTCGTTCAGAAAATCTCGTTCACCTCAAGGAACCGTGGTTATTGCGGAATCGCTATTAAGTTTGAAAGCAAAGTATTTCGGTAGGATTTTCTTTTTCATAAATACTGCCTCTGTGCGGAAACACTTCTAGCATCACAATCGGTAATTTATAGAACTGGGCTGTTTTTCTACGAAAGCGTTTTTGAATATTGGATGCTACATGCAAATTCTTAGATATCCTAATGTCGAATATATTGCTAACATTGTGTTAATATTTAGGAGTTAGTTATTTTATCGGTAACTGAAATACCTTAATCAATGCTTCTTAAACTGTTTTTGAAGCGCCATCCGTTCGATCTTTCTACACTTTCTGAGAATAAAAATGGTTCACTAGGTCCATAAGATGGATAGCTTAATTGGTATCGATGGCAGGCCTAAACCTTGCAAATGCATGATGATCTTAGGCTATGAAATTCTTTCGATGAAAGGTGTCTAGTGTACTAGTTTGCATAAATTTATTTCCAGTTAGGCATATATTAACTAAACACTTTCTGCTGAACGGTTGAGTTCGGGAAAAGATCTCTAGCTTATGAGGGATTATATGCGAAACAAAGAGTAACTTCTCAGTGACATCCAGCGAGCGAGTTGTTCCTTCAACAAAGGTGCCACTAAAGGAATATCGTGGACTAGCGGTAGCCTCATTGATCAATTTTGGATCATGATAATTACGGATTTGTCCGCTTTTTTCAGAGAACTGTCTTGCTTCGTTGCGGCACCTATGATGTTAAAAATCTTCACTTCTTCCTCAACAAGCATATGTTCTAAATGAAAAAATTATTTCTTATGCAACTAAAGCTGGCCAGAAACAGTCGCACTCACACATTACGGGATATGCAAATTCATAAATTGCCACCAACTGACAATAATTAGTGCAGTTTAGTGATTACAATACCATTGATTAAAAACTACCAAATATCTTAGACCGTACCGAAAAGAAAAGAATTGAGCGTAATGAAATCAATCAGTTTATACTGACTTGCGAAAAAGATATTGAATACTGTATGACTGTGACAGCGCCCGCCCTGAATATTTATCGGAGCTATGTCGAAGGATCTCCCTAAGCTTGATCCGTTTAGAACAAAGGCAGAAATAAAGGGGAAGAAGCAGAAAAGGTCCCAAGGATCTTCACACTATAGACCGAAAGCACCAACTGAACTAACACGTCTACCGGCATTTAAAGGTTCTTAAATCCAATTGTGTATTCGATTTTTAGATGTCTCTCCTTCCGAACATCAAGAGTTGTTTGTGAAAAAACTTCAGCAATGCTGTGTGGTTTTTAACTTTGAGGATTCAACTTCTGATGTTAGTAGTAAAGAGATCAAAAGGACTTTCTTGAATGAGCTAGTTGAGTACATAAGCGTAACCAGAAACGCGTTGAATGAATCAGTTTACCAACCAATTGTTTCTATGGTATATTCTTTATTTATTTTTGTGACAGCATTATGTTAGATTGCTTGTAATATATTCCGACCCCTCCCACCCTCTGACAACCCCGACTTTGATCCTGAGGAAGACGACCCAATTTTAGAAGCAGCCTGGCCTCACCTCTCAGTAATGACTTGTTTTATTTAAACACTGTTTGTTAGTACGTCTATGAATTCTTCCTGCGCTTTCTTGAGTCTCCTGATTTCCAACCGGTTGCTGCCAAGAAGTACATTGACCAAAAATTCGTACTTCAAGTAAATTGTTAGTTTTACGTTACGAAAGCTAGTTATTGGAGCTATTTGACAGCGAAGATCCTCGAGAACGTGAACTCCTAAAAACCGTGGTTCATCGCATTTACGGGAAGTTTTTAGGACTGAGGTCTTTCATCAGGAAGCAGATTAACAATATATTTTTAAGGTATTATTGAAGTCTTGAAAATCTTATTTTCAGATTCATATATGAAACCGAACAGTTCAATGGTGTTGGGGAGTTGCTTGAAATTTTGGGGAGTATTATTAATGGGTTCGCTCTCCCACTCAAGTCTGAACATACTCGTTTCCTCGCAAAAGTGTTGATCCCACTTCACAAAGCGAAGTCTTTGGTCACTTTCCATCCTCAAGTAAGCTGTTACAGACTATACCTGCAGCTTTCAGGAATGCCATAAATAATACTCCCAACTAATTCTTCACATAAAAGTGATATGTTTGGTTATCTCATTTAGTTTTAAGCTCACATTGTCGCTGTCACAAACTTTTGTATATATAGTTTTTAGGAAATTTTTGACTCACTGTCATCACGTTTAATCTTTTAAAATTCCGGAATGATGTATCCAGAAGTAAATACGTTAATTTTTGGTGAACGTATAAATATGGTGGAATGTACGACATTTGGATCCGAGTTTGTTCGTTATCTAGTTTTATAATATCATTGAGAATCGCACTTTTGGAGTACTGAATTACTTTAACTAGGATGCTGTTAACATTAGAGCCTTTGTGAATCTCTCATTGAAATTACGAATCCAGTGTTGGCAGTCATGTTTATGCTGATTACCTGATATTTATTTCCTACTGTACTGTATTCTCTTCGTTCATTTCATTACTAGGAAATCCAATTATTAGCTTACAATATGATGACACTTCTGTTATGTGGAGATAATAAGAAATAACAGACTTTCGGTTGCTGTCAGCATCATTATGAAGCATAATTGGAATAAGTTTCTCACTCAAAATGTGAAATTTCGCTCCAGGAGACGTTTGTGTCAGCTTTGATAAGGATGATAGGAAGTAATGTAATTGAGTGTGTCCACTTTACTAATCTTGGAAGTCCCATCAAATCTGGTGGACTAGTGCCTAGGTGTACTTCAAAAACAGATTTCCTGAATACTTGCGTAACCTGTGGCTTAGATGAAATGCCTATCAACTAAGTGATAAGCAGCAGTTCGCCCTGTTTTAATTTCAGGTTGTGAAACGTTTTAAAAGTCGAAGGGTTTCAAAGTCCTATTATTTGATAATAGATTTTTTCAAACATTGTTTGTGTATTTTGTGATCATAAAATGAAAAATGCTGAAATAAAACGGTGTACTTAGTGAGAGTGATAAATCGATCAGTGAGATTTTGGATCTTAATCGGCCAAGGTGTTCGGCACACATTTTGTAAGCATATCCAGCTCCTATCGCGATGCGTGATTTCGTGGTGTAGAAATAGGTGGTCAGAAAGTTGGGGGCTACTAAATCAACACCGGGCATTAGTCTATGAAGTAGTAAACTTGGATTGAGCTATATTGGCTGGTGTAGATTATCTGGTTGCTATCTACGTGATGATTAGTTAGCTAAAATATATCGGAATCCGTTGTAGCTTGATAAACTTGCCTCCCTTTATACACTCAGTTTTGAAATGTTTTTACATATTTTATTCTTGTCATATAGTTTTTCCTATTTATAAATTTGATAGAAGGGGAACAGCAAACGTAGTAAAGTAAGATGGATTCATTTTATTTCGCTATCTTATCAGCTGCGTACAACCTAAACATATTAGTATTATTTAGTAAAATTAGTGTACACACTTTATATCACAATATCAAAAATGTTGTCATCTATGAGAAAAATAATAAATGACTATAACTGAAAAAATTGTAAAAGATTGTCAAATGAAGAATGTTTGTATGATAAACAGTATATAAATTCCTAAATATCGAGTGGAAGCAAGGTTTTTCTCCATTGGTATCCGACTGGCTGGGAATGGTTGTATTCAGAGTTTTCAGCAAAAAGACATATAGAATGGACCTTATCTTAATTTTTGTAGCTTCTGTTCAATAAGTTATAAACAAGCTTTTGTTAAAATTTTTCAGTCGAGTACAAAAATGTGTTCAGATGACAGGATTGGAAAGGAATTAATAATTGTTGAAAAGTATCTGAAGGGTAGCGGTTATCCACAAAGGTTTATCAGTAAATGTGAGATGATAGAAATGAAAGCAACCAAAAGTGCTACATTAGAGAAGAAACTTGTTTTCATACGACTAGAATTCAAAGTTCTGACAACTGGGCTGAGTCATGTTGGTAGATGTCGACTACCTGGTTAGGGTCTGCAAGATGGTAATAATTGATGGTTAGAGGCCCTGAATGACTTGGCTGAAAACCGTTTGCATTCATTCATTGTGTTTTCTCATATGAGATGAACTTATCCAACAGCGAAATTGGTCTAAATGTATCAAACATAATGCTCATTAAAACATTTCGAAGTGGACAAATACTCATCGTACGTTACCTCTAGTTTTGAATACTGATACTATGTACGTGCCGAAGCACCTAAATTGGTAGAACGGAAGGAGAAGTAAATGTTCGCATTAATTAGCACACTCCTCTAAAATTAAGACTAAGGGATCAACTTACCTTCAAAAACCTGATTGCTCGTCATCCCCTTGATAGCGAACATAAAGTTGAGATTTCAAATTACAACCAGGCAAATACCTTCGAACTTATAAGTTTTAATAAAGCAACTACTAACAGAAGACGTGAACCCGACTTATGTATTCAAAAAGATGATGCTGTCACTCTGGCCTTGTCTTGGTGGCTTTTATGATAGCTTTTGTGGACAAATAAAAAAATTAATTTGTCCTCTTAACTTCCTAAGTGTTGTCTAAGCTTTGCTCATATTTGTAATACCTTTTTTAATCTCTTATTCAGTCCCCTTTCGGTCTTTATTACGCTTTTGTTACGTAACTTTAAATATCATCCTTCCCCATAAAATTTTTACATTATTTATCATATATTCTATCATTTGTAATGGTGTGTTATGACAATCTGAACTGATGTACGTTAATACGTACGAAGTTCTACTTTGCAACTGACTGATTGACAAAAGTCTTATCCTTTCTCATAGGAAAATGCATAAGACCACTATTTGTTTGTTTTACTTAATCTAGGCTCTAACACTCCAAGTATTCAGCAGCTCACTTTAATCATGGTTACAAAGATTTTGCCCACTTAAGTTTAGGTAGTTGGTTTACCAATACAGTATGGTAAAAACATTATAGGTGTTGTATTTTTGTTCTGTTTAAAAGTCTGTTATGTTAATTTGTGTTTATCCGATTTCGAGTTGTTTTATTAACCGTCTCCAACTACGGTTTCTGTTACCTCATTGGTTACGATAATTGTGAATATTACATGTCTTTTCCCTTAGTCGGCAATAAGAATATTCAGTCCAAATTGTACGTAAATAAACTAATATTAGCTGTTGCAAAATAGTTTTCTAGCTGAAGTTCACTAAACATGAAATGTGCACGCCAAGTGTGCATAATACAGCTTAAAACATCTAGATCAACCTCTTTTCCATACCTTGTATCCACAATTTGACCTAATTATATTGCTTTTTAATTTGTTAGAAAAGTTCTACAATCAAAGCCAAATTAGACATTTAGAAAAGAGTATTTTTAATCTGAAATTTTAGTTAATTTAAAGCACTAATTTTGACCAGTTAGTTACTGCATTTCATTTCAATCATTTTCAGCTTGCCTACTGTATTGTCCAGTTCTTGGACAAAGATGCGACTCTCACAGAGCAAGTCGTTCGTGGACTCTTGAAATTTTGGCCCAAAACATATTCTCAAAAGGAAGTTATGTTTTTGGGTGAAATCGAAGAAATCCTGGAAGTCATTGAGCCTTTGCAATTTCAGATTATTATGGTCCCTCTTTTCAAACAAATCGCAAAGTCTGTTTCAAGTTCCCATTTCCAGGTTTGCTTTAATTTTGCTCTTGGAAGTATCTTATAATTTATAATATACTGTTATCGGCTTTCACTGGAAGTTAGTTCACGTAACCGTTAGTTTATAGTTTTCATCTAAATGTAACCCAACTACAGGTTGAAGCTGTTGTGGTTTGTTCTTTGACCAAAAATTCAGTCCTTGATGCTGTTACTTATGAAACATATGTACGACTGTATACTCAAGAATGTTCACCAGATTCCGAGCTTTGTAAAATATATGGTGCAAACTAAATGAATTATATGCTAACAGAAAAAACTAGATAGTGCTACTCAAATTATGATGTACATCACTTTATAATGTAATATTTTACAAATGTAATGTTGAATTTTGTAATTTGTACTCTGTAGGTTGCTGAACGAGCATTAAGTTACTGGAACAATGATAATATAGTTTCTCTGATTGAAGAAAATCATGACACTCTTATACCGATATTGTTCCCATCTTTTTATCGTATTTCACGCGAGCATTGGAATCAAACGATTGTAGCTTTGGTTGGAAATGTTCTGAAAATCTTCATGGAAATGAACTCAAATTTGTGCAATCAGTTGACTGAAAAACACAAAGTGGAACGTCAAAGGTAAGGGGTTCGTAGACTGTCTTAGTAGTTCTGTATAAATGAATATTCGTGCATAATCCATGTTTTTGCAACGTATTTAGGTTTACTACTTTTTTAACTAACCTTTAACTGTTCAATTAATTACTACGCCTTCAAATTCATAATATCATTTTGATTAGTGTTAAAAAGCACATGACCAACACAATTAGATTCTTTTCCCTGCAAATGAGCATAGTCCATAAATTGAAATTAGAACTTGTGCATTCGATTCTTGACAAATATGACCACATCATTAATTGGTCCATATATCTTGCCATTTAAAAGCACTAAAAAGCAGGAACCATTCTTGCCTTATTGTCTAAGCCACTTCTCTTCCTACATTTTTCTAGCTAACCGCTAATAGTAAAAAACAGCTGTTACGGCTCTACTGTCGAAACTGTTATTTCTCTTGTATTGGTGCTTTATTTTGTCACTAACTTTTCGTCACCATGTATCTAGATGCTGATTACACATATTTCTCTGTTTAATAAACAAGCCAATACTAACAACAGAGGAATTCCTGAGAGAATATTCTTATTTTTATATAGACTTTTAGCCATTTACTATTTATCTAAATAAGTTTCTAACTTTATTCCGTTTATCTTTTTAGGGAACGTAAACGGGAGAAGGAACGTGAAGAATTATGGAAGAAACTTGAGCAGCTAAGGATGTCTGGTTCGGGCGATACATCACTAAACATTGATTACAAAAATAGCTCTACAGTTGTCAATACCGCTTTCACTAATGTTCATCAGCTTGGAGTAAATGTGACAAAGCGCTAACTGTGGTTTTCCAACTAGTTGTTTCGTGGACTACTAACCATATAATAGTGCGTTTCATGATCCATCCATCCTAGTAGTTTCATAAGTCATTGCGAAATGAGCTAGATTCTTTATTGAGTTAAACAGCGCTGAACATATAACTTGGTTTTTGAGTACACCTTGATCAATGCATGTTTGTCCACTCATATATTCAATGGATAGGAGTATATTCTTCCCTTGAAATGACTATTTTACTTTTTATCTTCTTCAGTTTAGTACGTTTTGTTATTTAATGTGACGTTATTTGTAATTTCATGAACTTGGTTTGTATGTTAACTTTACTAGTATGAGCGACCGACAGGACAATAAAGAAAACCATATGGTATTTAACTTGAAATTTTTCGAGTGGCTTTTCCAGTCTCATTGATACCATGCTCGATTCAAACGTGAAAAGTCACACTCACAAAACCTTTGAATTCATTTTACATGATTTATTGTTTCGAAAATTTACTCGGTGCTTTTTCTGTTTATTTATATTCTTACAGCAAACCGAGTAAATGCATAAATATTTTATGAAAAGCATTTTCGGGTCTCAATATATCCTTAGTTACATATATTTTTTTCAGCAAACGCTTAATAATTTTAGCTCCATGTATATCGTGTTTAAACATCCATTGAGCCTGAATCCTTTTGCTCTTTTAGCTTTAGCTGTTTGCGAAGTTTGAAAATGTTGGGAGATCGGAATTCCAACTGTTCGTAGATACTGCAAATTAAAGCATACTGGTTATTGCTTTTGTGCAAGCCGTTTTACTGCAAACACTGATTACAGTGTTTTAAAAATGACCTGACTTGATCCAGTTTCGTACGTTCAGTTCATTCTGTTCTATTGGTGTATCATATTCAAAGTTCGGCATCACATGAAGGTTAAGAGATAAATCTAGTACAAGATGTTATTTACAGATAAGTAATAAATAGAACTATAGTAGAGAATCGAAAATATTACATGGAAATAATTTGAGATGAAAAAACGTCGAATTCTCTATTAACTGCCACAATAGATATTCCAAGTTCACACTATTTGATCACCTAGAACTCTAGAGGCCACAAATACTCTTATAGTTTCGATCCAGCCTTCTAATCTTCCATCACATCCATTTACTCTTAAGAGCATGAGCTAGGAATTAGAGTAGAGCACGCTACCAATTGCAAAAATTGACTGCAATTGGTTACAGTAGGAAGATGTCTGTTTATCTCGTCAAAGTATATCCAACTTTCTTTATAAACCTAGACTCCAAATATCTGCCTTTGGACTGCCGAGCTTCAAACCATCGCAAAAAGTCTGACGTTTCTTTACCAATAATTTTTCGGAGTTCCCCGCATTTAAAATTCCTAAACCTTTATGGTAGACAACGGCATTCTAATTATTTACTCATATACTTAAGTTAGTATTATTCTGCTTTAGTTTTAGTAAATTATTGGTATACAAAGTCCCATAACTAATTACTGTACTGTTTAGGCTAAATTGGAAATTATACAGGTTAAGGCCAATGAGCCCACCGACTGCTACTCTGAGTCATGTTAATAGCTATGAACTACCTGGTTGGGGACGGATACTCACAAAGAATCGGGTTAGTGTATTCGCTGTCTTTCATTTGATCTGTAGTTCTGAGGATACTTTATATTACTTTTTCTGCTGATTTCTCGGTTTATATTGTTTATGCTTATCCTTTTTGTTGTCACTATTACTACTGTGGTGTTCACCCCTAGTCTTGCCAGCTCGTCTTATTGTGGCAACTAGGGCCAATACATGTGTTAAGTTCCGCATTGTTAATAACTGATTGTCTTACAAGGAATGCGAAGGTAAGACAAAAATCTGAGTCATAATAAATTAGAATATATTTTAAGGACGAAGTAATTTATCACGTTTCATCAGGATGTCTTACAATCTTCTTGTTGCTCTACTGGTTTCAATGTATTTACATATTTTTTAACTAGTTCTTCGTTTTCTAAGACTTCTTTTGGCTTTTTGTACTAGAAGGAAGAGTACACGTTTAATAGAAAGATCACAAACCGAAATCAGAAGGGTATTGTTTGCATGAGTCAATGAGATACATTTTTCGTTTAAGAGTAAACCCAACCGCGTCATATCTGGAATACTAAACTTCTTGTAATATCTAAATCAACAGCAAATGTAATTAACAGAAGATCAAATTGTAGCCCTTACTTTTTATTGGTGGTTCGCAACAAGATATTCTCATCTTCAACAGAAACTTTGTACACATCTAATGGGTAGGGTAAGTTACGGATACGCCATTGGAAAGCATGTGGAGCATCGCTACGACTGAACAATGGCTAATTTTGTTATTGGAGTAATGAAAGTATCAAAATACAGCTTGTGGTGACTCCATTATATGTTCTGAAAGCAGATTTTCTCTTCTAAGCGGTTCTCCAACTTCGAATTCCCACTGTCCGTCACCACCAAGTGTGGTTTGGCTTTTAAATTTCCTTACTTTTTGTGATCATAAAATGACTTCACTAACGCATACTTAGTAGGTTTTGAGTTGATAAATCGTATTCTTCAACCATTTGCAAACCATCAGGAAATAAGAAGTGCACCTTACGTTTTCCTAGAGATTTTCAACAGAGGAGAAGAGCGAGAATTCAAGCTGTCAAAGAGATACATCAGTTTTAACAGTGGCTTACACAAAAATGAATTAAGAAGTCGTTCGATATAAATGCTTTAGTGACTCACACCTTAGATTCGACCTTCTAGCGCTAATACCGGATTGGTAGTGGGTGCGGAATACGCACCTAAGAGATTTAGAAAACCCCGACTTCCAACAAATGGTGCTATTGAGCTCCAGGACCCTGCAGATACAAGTGGCATTTGAACCTAGTCTTGGTTAACGGCTACCATGGGACTGCATCTGTTAGTGTTCATTTAGTGCCGTGAGTACTACACCTGTAAGCTCGGAAGGTGGTCTCGAAAGAACACCACCTTCTTTGGTTAAAGCAGTCAGAAAGTATTTTTGTAGACATACGAATTCAATGATTGGTGTGGCACACATTGATTTCGGTGCATATTTATAAGGATGTTCATGTATTGAAATGAATAGTTCCTCACGGTTAGTACGTATAGTTGTGAAAAAGTCGTAAAATGGCCTGTTTAGAGTGCTAAAACTTTTGCAACTAGGCAGAATGTGGCCTCATAAAATTACCAGATGTGGTTAACGGGGAATGTGTGGTCATTGTGGTGGAGCTTTTTTATCTGAGCTACACTACAATCATCCATTGGAACTACAAATTATCTCCACTGTACCGAAATGTGTTCAGGTATTTCCTTTTAGTCCAGCCGCTCCTTTCAACTATATAACATGAAGGAGGCAAATTATCCCGGAAGAGCCTAAAATTGGTGTGTACTTTGATTGTACGAAGCCTCCAAACTTGGAAAAGCTCCTCCAGTAAACTTTGGGTAAGGCAACGAAAGCCTTCAGAATTCCCCAAATTATCAGAAATGGTGGCTGTAAGTATCTCATAGCTTAAAATCTCATGACCTCAGCCCTGCAATATTAAAATCGGTACCAACCGTTGCCTGTAAAAGACCAACCTAACGCTAATTTAGATGTACGAGACATTTGCTTTTCACATAAAATCACGAAATTAACAAGCTGCAACAAAAAGAGTAAAGCTTTGTATCCCAATAGTATACATCAACATTATTGTTTCAGGTTTGGAAAAAAAACAGCTATTTAGTTTGCAGTTAAGATCATACAGATAAAGTATTTTAATTGAACCTAAATTTAATATCAATTCCATATTATTGTAAGCAGTGAATAAAGAACCTTTTCTTATATTGGCGATAAATCATATGACTTCAAAACTTTATCATATTGTGTTAGCAACAACTCACCATCCTCAACGATAACAGTTGCTTTCGCAGATTTGACTTTTTTGATCCAAACGCCGGTATCCATGTTTCGGATTTGCCTCCTTCCAACATCCAATATTTTTTTCACGAGCTATTGTAAAACAATTTGATTTCTTCGCGCTCGATTTTTGTTCTTTCGGTACGGTTCCAAGTGTTCGGTGATGTCCAATGGATGGAGGATTAGTCACTCGACTGTCTAATTCTAGATAGCTGGCAGTTGGCTGAGAGTTTGTTATGTCTCGAGGTTTAAATGAATACGTTTGTTTCAGGGAAGTAGGGTTTCTGGATACCAGCAGCCGTCACATTACCAGAACGAAGATCAGTTAGTTGCAATGTGGAGAGTAATAAGGATATAATTCTAATGATAATATGAATAAAATTTCAGAAGTGAGTAATACATAGGTGAATTTAGTTTGTTAATTGATAGTGAAGATTGTGAGAGAGGACCGAAGTGTATGCAAGGGAGAGGAAATAGAGATAACAACTAGCAGGTCTCAAGATATGCATCATGAAAAGCTTGTCCAAGAGGGAGATGATAGTCCGTATGTGAGTACGTGATCATTGATGGGATATTCACCAAATATCCTAAGAATACTACTTTAGGAAGTATAATCCTATTGGTTGAAATTATGGTCGTTTTAACTGTCAAAGACAAATACTTCAATGTTGTCTCTGATTGGTCTTCCGGACTGTCAATGTCATTTCAAATGTTCTTACCTATTGGCCGTCTTAAACTGTCTGTGGTGTTTGAATGAACTAGTAACTTCTTGTTGTTGTGGAATGCTTGATTTCGAATTTTAAATACAATACATTCGTTTGTGCATATCTTCAGTTCTTGATTCACATATTTCTAATCATCATACTGGCGTCGCGATTGAGCTTGTCATGGAACAGTTAGATATTCATTCTACTTCTGAAGCTTTTGAAGATTATTTGGAAAGGTTTGAAATCTGGTGTGTGACCAGGAAAGATGTCAAAGATGATAAAATTGTGGCTCATTTCCTAACATTCATCGGAAAAGAAGCGTACAGCTTATTAAAAACTTTGGCATATCCAGAAAAAACTATTTCACTTCCCTATGCAATGCTTAAGGAGTTATTATTGAATCATGTAAAGTGCCCTGGTTTTGAATGCCGTGAAAGGGCGAAATTTCATAAGATGATTCGTCAAAATGACCAAAATGTTAAGGAATTCATTCTTGAATTGCAGAAACAGGCTGTCAAATGTAATTTCGGTGGTCAACTTCATGTGCAGCTGAGAGACCGATTAACTGCAGGAAAGATAGCTGTTAAAAATGTCAAACTGTTCCTTTCAAGATGTTAGAACTGCGTGCATTAACTACGAGGCGTTGAATGAACTTGATATTCCGTCGATGAAGATTTCCAATACTTTGATTAGTTGTCATGATGAAAAACAATCTCAGGGTCAATCAAAATTGTGTTCGTTTAACAGAGGTTCCTATTTGCGTGTAAATATGAACGGTGTTTCAATAAAGAATTGCAAATGAAATCACAAAGGTGAGACCAAGTTTGGCAAATGTTTATCATGTGGAAAACTTCATTCTCGTAATTCATGTGCATTTCGTAATGCTAAATGTTTTAGATGTGGTAAGATAGGATACATTCAAGCAGTATGCAAAGCTACTGTTCATTTTGCCTCAAGTAGTATTAAATCTTGTAATTTAGATCCCAATAATTCAGCTGATCCTAATGATCATTTATCCTCGTCTGCCATTTTGAAAGGTAATGCTCATATTCAAAAGCGATTATATACATCACTTGATTCATTTCATGACTTTATTTTGGACACAGGCAGTATAGAGTCCATTATTTCATTCAAGAACTTGAAATCGCTAGATCCTAACGTTGTGATACGACCCACTGAAGTATCAATTTTGGGGATTACTGGACACAGACGGCCTATACGAGGATGTTGTGAATTGTTAATAAGAGATGATAATTTCTCATACATACCTTGTGAATTTAAAGTTGGTGAAACAGACCTATCAATACTGGGTTTAAAGAATTTGAAAAGGCTTAAAGTGGAGTTGTCTTTCCTAGTTTCTAAAGAAAATTCTTATGCTTTACTTGAAGATTTGATAGCCACGTGTGCTAAGTGCAATGGAGGTATGAAAACGGTTCAGCACAGGAGTGCCAAGCAAATTCAACATGTTGACTACATTTCTCGACAGTCATTAGTTTGAATTAACTAGTGACTTCTTGTTGTTGTTGAATGCTTGATTTCGAATTCTAAATACAGTACATTCGTTCGTGCTTATCCCGTAGTTCTTGATTCACATACTTCTAATCGTCATATTGGCGTCGAGATGGAGCTTGTCATGGAACAGTTAGATATTCATTCTACTTCTGAAGCTTTTGAAGATTATTTGGAAAGGTTCGAAATCTGGAGTATGACCAGGAAAGATGTCAAAGATGATAAAATTGTGGCTCATTTCCTGACATTCTTCGGAAAAGAAGAGTACAGCTTATTAAAAACTTTGGCATATCCAGAAAAACCTATCTCACTTCCCTATGCAATGCTTAAGGAGTTATTATTGAAATAATGTAAAGTGCCCTGGTTTTGAATGCCGTGAAAGGTCGAAATTTCATAAGATGATTCGTCAAAATGACCAAAATGTTAAGGAATTCATTCTTGAATTTCAGAAACAAGCCATCAAATGTAATTTCGGTGATCAACTTCATGTGCAGCTGAGAGACGGATTAATTGCAGGAATTAACATACCTAGTTTGGAAAGAGAGCTGTTAAGAATGTCAAACTGTTCCTTTCAAGATATTAGAACTGCGTGCAATAATTACGAGGCGTTGAATGAACTTGATATTCCGTCGATGAAGATTTCCAATACTTTGATTAGTTGTCATGATGAAAAACAATCTCAGGGTCAATCAAAATTGTGTTCGTTTAACAGAGGTTCCTATTTGCGTGTAAATATGAACGGTGTTTCAATAAAGAATTGCAAATGAAATCACAAAGGTGAGACCAAGTTTGGCAAATGTTTATCATGTGGAAAACTTCATTCTCGTAATTCATGTGCATTTCGTAATGCTAAATGTTTTAGATGTGGTAAGATAGGATACATTCAAGCAGTATGCAAAGCTACTGTTCATTTTGCCTCAAGTAGTATTAAATCTTGTAATTTAGATCCCAATAATTCAGCTGATCCTAATGATCATTTATCCTCGTCTGCCATTTTGAAAGGTAATGCTCATATTCAAAAGCGATTATATACATCACTTGGTTCATGTCATGACTTTATTTTGGACACAGGCAGTATAGAGTCCATTATTTCATTCAAGAACTTGAAATCGCTAGATCCTAACGTTGTGGTTCGACCCACTGAAGTATCAATATTGGGGATTACTGGTCACAGACTGCCTACACGAGGATGTTGTGAATTGCTAATAAGAGTTGATAATTCCTCATACATACCTTGTGAATTTAAAGTTGGTGAAACAGACCTATCAATACTGGGTTTAAAGAATTTGAAAAGGCTTAAAGTGGAGTTGTCTTCCCTAGCTTCTAAAAAAAATTCTTATGCTTTACTTAAAGATTTGATAGCCACGTGTGCTAAGTTCAGTAGAGGTATGAAAATCCAGCCTATGAAACTTCAAGAACAAGGTGATCCAGTCTTTCTCAAAAGACGAATAATTCCTTATGGTCTTCGAGATGCAGTGCATAAGACTTTGAATGATTTGTGTGCAAAAGGCATAATTGAACCGGTTCAGTCTCCTGCATGGGGTACTCCGATTGTTACGCCATTGAAATTGGATGGCAAGACTCCTAGAATATGTGGTGACTATAGACTAACATTGAACTCCCGTTTGTTGCAGCAAACATGCACGACGGTAGAGGCTGAAGATATTCTAAATCGACTTCATGGTTCTATAGTGTTCTCGAAAGTTGACCTAAAAGATGCTTATCTTCAAATCCCTTTAGATCAATCCTCATCTATTTTGACGACAATTAATACTCCTTTCGGTCTATTTAAATACAGTTTCATTCCATTTGGGCTAAGTTGTTCTCCAGCCATATTCCAGGTAGTTATGAATAAGGTGGTTAGTGATCTTGAAGGTGTTGAAGTTTATCAAGATGATCTGATTATTCATGGTGCTGATAAGGGAGCTCATGACCAGAGACTTAATTGGGAAGAATATCACAGCAAATCCAAATAAGTGTTCATTTAGTGTATCTAGTTTTGAATGTCTTGGATACCTAGTTGATGGTAATGGTTTTAGACCAGATATAAAACGACTAGCTCCACTGACAAATGCACCGCCTCCAAAAAATCTTACGGAGCTACGTTCACTAATGGGTGCTCTTCAATACTATTCCCGTTTTATTCCTAATTTTTCTTGTCGTGCAAATTGTTTATTGAATATTTTGACATCCAATTCATTCAAATGGGGTGAGGAACAAGAGTTATGTTTACGTAGTCTACTAAAGTTTCTTCAAAGTGATGCTGTTATTCGAACTTACTCCCCTAGTGTACAGTCTGTGCTTATCACTGATGCATCACCTGTGGCTATTGGCGCAGTTTTGGAACAGGAAGGTAGACCAGTTATTTGTGTTTCAAGCAAACTTACTGTTACTGAACAAGGTTATTCACAGACTCAGCGAGAGGCATTAGCTGTGTTTTGTGCTGTTAAAAGACTTCATAAATATTTATTCGGAAAGAAATTCACTATTGTTACTGATCATGAGGCTTTGCAGTTTATTTATCATCCTGAAAAATCCTTAGCACGTGCCTCAGCTGCTATGGTTCAACGACGGAGTATTACTTTGGGTGCTTACGACTATACGGTTCGGCACTGGAGTGTCAAACAAATTCAACATGTTGACTACATTTCTCGACAGTCATTACAAGATAAAACTGTTAATACTTCAGACTGTTTGTTGGTGCAACCTTTATCAGTGAAACGTCCAGATCTCATTAGAGAAACTCGTAGAAACTTTGGATGTATAATTAATGCTATACGGAAAGGTCGGAATGCTAATCTGAAACACAGATTCCCTATCTATTTTTCAAAGCGGGATGAGCTATCCACTACTCCTGATGGTATTTTATGTTTAAATGATCGTGTTGTTATTCCTCCTTCATTGCGTAAAGC